AAATAATACCATTATTATACATGTAGCATTTTAAAACAAAATTATTACATAAAAAGATTACCATATCTGTTTGTGTATAATTTAACGTCATATTTTTTAATACAAAAGCCTAAATACAATTTTATGTTATGTTTAATGTCTGTGTGTTGCTTTTAAATTTATTAGCGTAAATAAACATTTACAATCGCAAATCAAATTAACCGGTGCAATTTTTAATGATGCAGAAAATAGAACCATTCAAATATAAAAGTTGCCTCCCTTTGACCTCCCGAGAGACAATTACTCGCTCTTCTAAGTTTCCTTAAAATAACGTTTGTGCAAGTGACTTTTACCATTGTATGGATGACGAGGCTGGGGGCTATGTCATACAGAATGGAAACAGGAACACTGTTTTTCTATGTGTAGAACCATTTTGGATATGGTATGTAACGTAATGGAATAACCTGTCGCCTCTATGAGTGACTACACTATAGGTAGTAATTACCTATAAGTATCTGTAAGTCAATGGACTACAGAGACTAGCTGGGATCAGTTCCAGCTAAACAGTCGAACTCTCTGCCTTTGGGCAGAAAGGAACCCGGACGAGGCTCCATCGAAGGGCAGAGTCTCGTTCGGGGAGGTAGACTGCCCCTGAACCCATTTATACGAGTTTGAAAGGGAATATTTTTGGCCGAGCCTACGGGCTCAGAGAACTCATGTTAAACCGACCTTGGGTTAACTAAATATACTGGGATCTGTTTAGTAGCACTCACTACTGGATTGACTTGCGATGACCTTGTGCATAACTGTTATCTTTATTCTTATTGTACTGTTTTTTTACAATAAACTTTTACTTATTTTATCCACCTTATTTTTCAAGTATATATTCTTATTAGCACGGAATATAACAGTATGAAATGCTTAAATGAACAGTGCCCATCTCTTCACATCTGTGCTTGTAGAAGGAGGAGCTAAGTGTATGAGGTCAGATAAAAAAGTTTTGAGACTGTTGCTATGGCAACGGAGCTAAAGTACACAGAGTGAAGCCACTTGGCACAGATTAGACCTTGAACTCTATCACATATAAATGCTAAGTTATAACATTCTTGCTTGATTATATGATTTAAAGCAGTGCTATGGCTTGTGCAGCAGGTTTTGATCAAGCACAACATTCCCCAGGTTTGACAACTGCCATATTCCCCAGATCTCACCCCTTACAACATTTTCCTCTTCAAAAATCAAATTCCACTTGAAAGGAACAAGATTTCAAGACATTGAAGAAATTCAAGAGAATGCGACACTACAGTTTCTCACTCAGGAATGATTCCATCAATGGAAATGAGGCTGAATAATGTCTGTGGATTCAGAAGGAGATGACATCAAAGGAAATCAAATACCAAATTGAGAAATGTTGTAATTTTATTTTTATAACACAAGTCCCGATACTTTTTGGTTTGGTTTGTTTTGTTTTACGGCATATCAACCTCAATTGTTCATTTAATGCCAACAACTTTTCTTTTTTTTTTTTCTGGTGATATTTATGTTTTGTCAAAAATCTATTTCTGTTAATTTTTCCTCAAAAATGTATAACTGGTAATATCATTTTTCCAAAAACGTGTAGCTGGTAATAGTTTTTTCAAAGACATATTGCTGGTAATATTTTTTTTTCTTCAAAAATTTATTTCTGATAATAATTTTTTTACAAAGTATTTCTGGTATTAAAACCTATTTTTACACTTTTATAATGTCTTTTACCTCAGTTTTGGGGTTAACTATTTGCCCATAGCTGGGACCCTAACAGGTGCTACCACCCCGGGGTCAGGGCAGATCTGGGAACATCAGCAATTAAGAGGAGGTTCCATGTACCTGAAAGCCTCCTGATCAGAGGCCTTGCTGTTGGAGGTAGTTTATTATCTTACCCTGGACGCGGATGTAGTTTATTGTCATACCCAGGACACTGATATTATTTTTTGATCAGACCTTGTATATTATGAGGATATGTAGGATAGATAATTGTTGACTTTAAACTTGAAGAGGTTAACATCATAGTGATTGGGGGAGCATCCTCTTCAAAGTCTGTTCCACAAAGTAAGAGATTTGGGGAAAAAAAATCATCCAAGTGGAACTTCTGCTTTATATTATTTATCCATATATCAGCAATAATCCTTGCTGGTCAGGTTTTGTACAGATTTGTATTCTCATTTTCTCTTATCACACCAAGTAGCAAAAACTTCTAACTACCTGAACCATAACTCCAGTTCACTATGCGTCACTCACAAGCAACTTGCATCTCTCACTTCTGTTCTGAGCCTTGATCCAGAATGAAGTTTAAAAAAAGAAGTTGCAGAAGGTGATATCATTGTCATAGTGAGAATACCTAAAATCTCACCTTTTTTTCAGGAGTATCCTTTCTCTAACTAGTCAGCAGCCTAGTAAATTGCAGCATTTTTGCTATTTTTACTAAACATTTCAGGACTGTTTGACAAAAACAGTAGAAAACTTCTTATCAAGACATGAATTCACAGAACTAATGACAAATCAGAAATAATATCTCGTAGTTTCTTTAAAATGCAAAAAAGAGGCATTACTTAAATATAGTGGTCCACAAGTAAAAAATAGGGGAAAATTTGTCGGTGAAAATAATCTTTCATAGATTAACATTTATTAGACCTTCCTCTACCCATGACATTTTTCAGAACCAAAAAATATTGAATTCTTTTTTTTTTTTATCGATTTAGAATAAGGGTCCTGTGTGTAATATATTTTTTGGTTTTTTAATCATTTCACTACAAGCAAGGCAATAAAGCCACTAAGGCACAAATGGTTACTGAGTGTGAAAGAATAAGAGAAAAAGAAAAACATTAAGGTGACAGAATGATAAAAGAGCTGGAATTAAGACAGAATATAACGATTGACATTGCATTTAATTTTTTGAAGATCAAAATTGACTGGAAAGCAAGAAGTCAGAAAATACAATCACAAATTTATTTTTGACTTTATTTATAAATGTTAAGTTTGAAACTATGTTTGTACTATTGATATCAATTTTTTTTTTACCTTTTCTGAATTTAAAATATTTTTTTTTCAGGGGCTGGGTAGCAGATGCACAAACATTGGGACATAATAATTAACTATCTTAAATGAAGAATAAATGGCTTGCTATTAGATTGGCATCTAAATCCCACTCTTTTACTGTTGAATTAGTTAAATGTGACCACAACTTCCAGTCCAACAGTTTCTTTTCTCACACTTCCTGCCTGTGAAACTCCCTTCCATTTCCCTGCTTCCCTGATAACTATAATCTTCAAAAATTTAAATGCAACATCAATTGCTATCTTTTATCTTCTTGAACTCTGTTCAGTTTTTATCCTTTCCTTGGTCCCCACTATACCTAGTCTTTTCTCTCACCTTCACTCTCTCTAATCCCCTGCGTACTAGTGGCATTCCTGCTTTGCTTGAAGTAAAATGATTAAAAATATATATCTATGAATTTATGTAAATTTTTGCTCTTAAATTATATATATTTTTCATTTTAGTGGGAGTAAGGGAATGCAAAAATTGCCCATTGTCCCAAGTGCTAGCAATCACTTTTTAGCTATTTCAAAAAAAAATATTTTTAGGTGTTATTAATTTCTTTTAACTGATTAAGACATAGCTTTTTTTTTGTTTGTTGTTTGAATAGTAGTAGCATTACTTTCAAGCTTTCACCATGGGTAGAATTCAAGTTGGTATCTTTCTGTTTTTAAAAATTTTTAACATACCATTTCTACTGCTGAATAAGGTGAGCTTTATGCTGGGTGCCAGATGTTTTATTTAAAAGGGCCTCCATCATAAATATATTTAATTTTAAAAATGTAAGAATGTTGAAAAAAAAATTCATCTAATTTTCCTTGTCTGTCATATTCAAAATGTTTAAAAGAAAGGTTGCTGCCCAAATATATATATATGTGCGTGTGCGTGTGATTTTTGTCTGCATTTCTGGGATGAGGAGTTATCAATATTTACATTATTTATATTTGGACTATTGTCCTCATCTTTGTTATCATCCAATCCCTAGTCATGAGCAGTGGAACGGGAACAAGTCTACCCCCACAGATTAAATAAACGATCAGTTCAGAATCCCTGTAAGTTACCCAGATTAATATACACCTGAGGAAAGCCGGAGACCACAACGGACAAAACAACGTGATAATAACAACAAAGATATGTCTATATTTCTGAGATGAGGTATTGTAACTATTTTCATGATTCAAACTGTTATCTTCATCTTTTTTGCCATATTCACATTTCAGCCATTGTACATTGACCTTCTTCAGGTGATATACATTGGAATTTTGAACAAAACCCTTTACATAATCCACGGGGGTAGATTGTTCTAATTCCACATGCCATTTTGGATATCTTTTGGTTACTAAAAAGAATTAACTGATACTGAGATATCCAAAGAATGGCACATAGAATTAGAAAAAACTACCCCCCATGGACTAAATAATGGGTTTGGTTTGCTATCCCAACATGTCACCTGAAGAAGGTCAGAGCATGCAATGACCAAAACATTGAGAATATGGCAATAAAAATGAAGACAACTGTCCAAACGATGTAAATAGTGTAAATAACAACAAGGATGGGGACAACAGTCAGAATATAAATAGTGTAAATAATATCTGTCTATATTTCTGAGATGCGGTATTATGTACACTATTTACATTATATGGACTATTGCCCTCATCTTTGTCACCATGTTTATCACAACATTTCGGCCATTGTATACTCTAGCCTTCTTCAGGTGGTTGAAATGTCAAACTGAACCCTTTATTTTGCTCACAGGTGTAGACTGTTCTAGTTCCACATGGGACACATGGCACAGTGGGTAAAGGCATTAGTTAGATCCAGTGACAGGACCCAAAGAGTGTGAGTTCAATATCTGGTTAAGGCAGTGGGGGAACTTTGAGAGGGAATTAACAGGAGATAACTGACATCCATTAGACATGGCACGTGGAACTAGAACAGTCTACCCCAGTGAGCAAAATAAAGGGTTCAGTTCGACATTCCAACCACCTGAAGAAGGCCAGAGTGTACAATAGCCGAAACATTGTGATAAACATGGCAACAAAGATGAAGACAATAGTCCGAATAATGTAAATAGTGTGTAAATGATATATTTATGAATATATGTAAATTTTTGCTCTTTAATTAAAAATATGTATAAGTTGTTTTCATATATAGAATAAAAAAGTCCAGATAACTGTAAAAAGTCAGGGACTGGTTTTATACTGTATTGATATTTTGAAACAGTACTCCACTTCTAATTAAAAAAAAAAATCAATATTTTTTTTTTATTTTTACAAGTGTCATGTTTTAAGGAAGGTCTAGGGAATGTTAATCTATAAAAATTATTTACTAAAGAATGTTTTTTTTTTTTTTTTTTTTTTTTTAAACGAGTATATTATTTAAGTAGCACTGAAAAAGATATCCACAAGTTTTTGGACACCTGAAGAATACGTACCTCTATATTTTTAAGGTATTTTCTTTGTAATGATGTGTCTGCTGCAACTGAAAATCAAGATAAGAAAAACGTTTTAAAAAGATATTTTTTAAAAATATGAATTAGCAAAAGCCTTAAGCCAAATAAACAACCATTATTAGTGCTTCATATTGCATAAGGTGGTCAACACAAAAAATATGAAATCCGCAAACAGAGTACAAATTCTGGCTCAGGTAGTTTGTATTCACTTTGCACTAAGCCTTGGAAAAAGCATAAACACATTTCTTCTCCCTATCCAGAGTAGAATAGACTCTAACCTTGGTTGGCATCCAGTCTAGGAAAAAGAAAACTCTAAATTCAAAACCAAGAGATTAGGTATAGAACTAGCAACACCACTCTGTAAAAATCCTACTTGCTACTGAAACTACAGGCCCATTACCTAGCATAATTGCAGCCCTTCTTAATCCCCACAAGGGGTATGCAGGAATATATAAACTAAAAAGTTTTTGTGCTGTATCAAATTATGATGGAAAAGAGTTTAAATTATGGCTGCCACTTTGTAAACAGTTAAGAGTTGTCACCAAGTGGAAATTTAGGGGTCATCAAAGGTTTAGAAGTGAAAAAATGCTGGTTGAAGAGAATAAAATGAACTCTGAGTTAGAAAAAGTAAATAAATCTTCTTTCATTTGGTTTGGTTTGTTTTACAGCATATCAAACTCAATGGATCATTTAATGCCAACAATATTTTTCTTTTTTTTTTCCTGGTGTTATTTTTGTTTTGTCAAAAATCTATTTCTGTTAATATTTTTTCCTCAAAAATGTATAGCTGGTAATATTATTTTTCCAAAAACATACAGCTGGCAACATTATTTTTTTCAAAAACATTATCAGAGGCCTTGCTGTTGGACGCAGTTTATCATCTTACCCAGGACGTGGATGTAGTTTATCATCATACCCAGGATGCTCTTTTATTTGGTATGTCACTTCAAAATATAAGCGATCATGGCTCTTCCCACCTTTTTACTGTTGAAATAGCTAAATGCAACCACCACTTCTACTCTAAAAGTTTCTTTTCTCACACTTCCCACCCATGGAAATCCCTTCCATTTTTTTGCTTCCCTGAAAACTACAATCTTCAAAGGTTTAAATGCAACATCAATCACTATCTTCTGTCTTCTTGCACCTTGTTCATCTTATGTCCTTTACTCAATCCTCCCCATTCTCAGTCTTCTCTTTCACTTTCACTCCCTGTAACCTCCTGTGTACTAGTGGTATTAGCACCGTGCTTGGGGTGAAATGATTAAAAAAAAAAAAATCACACAAGTTCATCATGTAAATGTCTCACTGCCTTTCCTTATCTCTCTTGTGTTCAAATATGCCCTGTGAAGGTTAAGTTTTCCAAACCCTCCTTCTTCATTATGTGTCTCTCCCTGACTGAGTAGAAGCGTTCTTTAATACTTCCTTGTTGTTTACTCACTCATGGTAACTTGAGTTAGTGAGAGTTCCTTCATAAGTCAGCCACATAAGAGCAGCATTTTTTTTTTAATCTTTTCACCCTATGCAAGGCAGTAAAGCCACTAAGACACAAGGGGGTTACTGAGTGTGAAAGAATAAGAAAAAATGAAAAACATTATTAAGGAGCAAGAACAATAGAAAAGCAATCAAGACAGTAGATAACAACTGATATTGCATTTAAATTTTTAAGATCAAAGTTGACTGGAAAGCATATGGAGCCCGAAGAGACTTCCACAAGCAAGAAGAGTGAAAGAAGAAACTGTTAGCATAGAACTTAACAATTTCAACTTTAAATTGATGAGATCTTGCTACCAATCTAGTACTGCACTTAAATTCATAAAGTCTAGGTACCATAGCAAAGAGTTCATCTGAACAATTACCATGAAAGTATTTATAGAAAAGTCACAGGAAAGCAACTTTATGGCAGAGGAAAATTGACTGAAGCCAAGATACCACATCAAGACCCATAATATTGCTGATTCTTCTTTGTATTTTATGAAAAATCTCTAAATATATAGCAGGAGCACTGGAAACCATGTGGCAGCAATATTCAAAGCATGGACCAAGGGAAGTGAGAATTCATCTAGAGGACAATGTGAAGTTGTCAATAAAAACACTGATAAAAGGATTTGCAATAGACAGATTAGATGTTGTTATCCTGAACAAAGTCTTTTTATGTCCTATGCAGTCAGTACATTCCCGTATTTATAAAGTGTGCCATGATTCAAAGTATAGATAAATTTCATGTGTATAAGCTCGTGACAATATTCTTTAAATTATCCTATTGTAATTGTGCTTGTCCCTCCCTTCATTAATGTTTACACGGCCATTGCATCTTGCCAATACCCCATAAATAATGGATTATTCCATTTTGGAAAAACACACTACTTGGTTTCAGTGAGAAAATGGAAGAAAGGGAAGATAAAAGTGTTTAACCTCTGTTTCAGTGAAATGGAAAAAGTTGTCAATTTCAAATGTTTTCATTTGTACCCACTTCTTAAATTAACGATCAGCATTCATATTTATGATTGTTATTGCAATATTTTCTTTAAGTTTTTAAGCTGAAATATTTAATGATGCAATAGGAAAATTTTTATGGTTATTTTATTGTCTTAAAACTTGTCATCAACTTACTCAATCATTAACTTAAGAATTAAGATTCAGCAGAAAATTCAAATACAAAAATTGTGAAATTTTCATGGATAAAGACTAGTTATATAAAATTATAAATTTTTATTTGGCTCAAAATACAAAGTGTTTCTTTAAATGTTCAGGAAATTTAGATTTGAAAAAATAAAAAATTAAAACAGACTTCATATTAACACCTAATTTCTTTTGAAGTAATCTCCTTGAGCATTTATACAATGATGCTCACAAAAGGTAGTGGCAAAAGCTTATGCTACATTTGGTTTGTGCACACTGTTTAAATTCTCTAAATCTTTAAACAACTACTTCATATACAATTATCTCAACCACAAGGAAAGTTACAAAATGAACCAAATTATTTTCCACAATCACAAGTAATTACAAATTTTAAATGTACAATTAACATAAATTTTGTCAAGACTTTTTGATGTAGAATTATCATTATTATACAATTATTTCCTTGGACTAATGTCCTCATCTTTGTTATGACATTTTGTCCGTACTCTCCAGTCCTCTTTGGGTGCTGATCATAGTTGGTAACCTCCCCCAGAATCCATGGTGCTGTCAATGCTAGAGGTACTTTTTAGTAGGTACTCGTGTTTTAGTCACTATCTTTGTCTTTTTATTAAAAATAACATTTATAGTAATAAGAAATAATGTCAAATAAAAAAAATAATTTCAAAAATTAATGTTCATTTGAGTAATTCACAGACAGACAGACACACACACACACACACACACACACACAGAGAAAAGGCTTTTATGTTTTATGGGTTCAAGTAGAATTTTGTAGGATTAACTTACCTGTATTAAACTTCAAGCTACGTTTCAGTTTAGACAGGTAGTAGATCACCTGAAAAAAAATAAAAAAACAAACCCTCATTTTATATAGACACAGTCACACATGTACAGACAAACCTCAAATGGACTAATTGTATAACAAAATATTTTATATTTCAACACACATCAATTATGTCTATAACTTTAAAATAAAAAAGCATCTATTCTACATATAATCTCCTTCCTTGACAAGGCACTTAATTTTGTGATGAATATACAGGCACATCAATTATGTCTATAATTGAAGTCAACATTACGCAAATAATAAAAACGCACAGCAGAAAAAAACAACCGACCCCCCCAACACCACAAACTAAACCCACCTGTAACTGCAGAGCAAAGAATGAATGTCTCTTAAATGGCAATCACTTGCAAAACAACATAATATATGAAAACACTGTAAAATCAGCAGATAATGAAGAAAAAATATGCATAAGAGTAACTGAAGGACCCTGGAAACAGAAACTATGCACACAAAACATTCCCCTTTGTAGGAGAAACCATTTGATCCAGCATGCTTCAGACCACTTGATCACAGAGAACATCACAGCCCAACAAGATTCTATTTTCCCTTTAAATTTGAAAGAATGCACATTCCTTCATTTAGGTTTTCTCAATTTCATGTCCAAGGGTTGCATTAATTCCTGACCAGTGACAATATTTTTCTTATATATTTTATGATAAATCATTAGCAATGCATTTTCATTAAACATATTAATCACCCTTGACTTAATTTCTGAACACTAACAATTACTTTGTTCCTCATATTCAATGCATTTCTATAATTAAATCATGTAATACTTACGTCAGCCTCTGATTTTGTTGATACCATTTTTGCAATTTCTGAACTTTGTTGCGGTGAGTATCTAAAAAAGAAAGAAAATAAAAGAGAATGGAAATTAAAAACAATTATCTTTTTTATTTTTTTCCAAAAGTAAAATTTTTTTGGAAAAACAGAATAAACTTTTCTTTTTAAATTTTGTTTTGTGACATTTGGTAAGTAACACCATATATCTATCCATGTGTGGGTGTATGTATATATATATATATATATATATATATATATATATATTCAGGAGCACACTTCGTAATGACTATTACAAAGATACCACCAGACCCATATGCCTTGTAGGGATCTAATTTAGAGACGATAGCAGAAACCATGGAAGGGGTTATATGTATATCACTCAACAGAGAATCAGTTCTAAGTGGGAAGTTAGGCAGGGATACTCCAGATGAGTCAAGAGTAGAGTTTGAGGAGATTTTACAAGCAAAGCATTCAGCTTTATCAGCAGAGGAAGATAATACCTCATATTAATTGAAGAGGGGAGGAATAGAGACCTTGCACTTATTTAATACCCTATTACAGAGCCACCAGTAATCATGAGAGCCAAAGTTGTTGGAAGCTATGCAGTGCCTCATTCTCTCAACAAACAAACTTTGCTCCTTTGAGGACTCACTTACATTTCTTGCAAGGAGCAACAACTAGGTGTCACACTGATATAACTGAAAATAGTGGTTCCTGTGTACTATAGCAGCCAAGCATGCTGGTGTGAACCATGGAGGGGATTGAGGTTTCACCTGGTATTTCTGAGAAGGGATGAAAACGTCTATGCCAGCTTTGATCCAAAAAGAAACCTCAGTGGCACAATTTTCCTCATGTTTACATATGAGAAGACACCAGCATTTGTTTACTCTTTCTTTCACCTGACTAGCATATTTATTTGTTTCATTGACAAATAAAGTTAATATTTCATTGTTTATAACTAGACAAAATAATTCACTTTCAGAAAGGCTATCAGGTACATCCATGGAGCAAATAGCTTCCACAGAATCAGTCAGCCATGGATGATAGTAGCCATTTTTGTTTACAAAAAACAATCAGAAAAAAAATTAACGTAGGCTTAATTGACGTTACACCTCATGTAGAGTGTAGAAGAATTAAAAATGGCATCAGAAAATGAAAGCTTAGCCTTGTTCCAAAGCAGTAGTAGACGATTTCCAGCTTAAAATACCAGAAATAACAGTTGACAAGTGTTTAGCAACTGTCTCAAGGTGACAGAATGCATCTACAGCATGCAAAGGGAGAGAATTCTACAACAATTTTCACCTTCAGAGTGGTAAAGGTTAATAGAAGATTGGAACGAAATATCAATAGCTACCACAGATTGGTCAGAATTATCAAGAGGGCAGTGTTGCAAACTTCGGCAAGAGGGGAGGAGGTAAGAAATAAATCAAGTAGAGAAGCATGTTGCTCAATTTTGCTAGGGAAACAAATAAGGAAGTCCACTATTTGAATAAGAGATTGGGCAATAGAAAAATTTAATATCTGAACCCTGGCAACATCATTCCCTTTAGAATTTATAAGCCACATGTTGGTTATGTTAAATTCCCCCAAAATAAAAATGTTCGAAGATGGGTGAAGGGAAAGTGCCTTTTCTATACTGTCAGCAATTATGTCTAATACAGAGCAGTCCTTTTCAGGACTTTTAACAATTTCAAATTGTCATCTTCAGGGCGCAATTTTCCCATACATAGGCAAACACCAAGATGGAATATGTGTAGACCGAAAGTTTTTTTTTTTAAATTATGCTATTTATTGATGGGAGAATTGTGCCCTGAAGATGACAATTTGAAATTGTCCAAAGTACTTGGCATGTGTCTTCCATCTGACAACTCGGACATAAAGATCTTATTATTCAAGGAATTGATAGTAAGTTAATGTTTCATTAAGTCTTGTCAGCAAAGTGATTTCACCATTAATTACATTAACATTGCTAATTCTTTGTACAAATTGTTTCTTTATGATAAAAAATATAAGCTACATAATATTATTGATCTAACTTGGACATTTATGAGTCTATCACACCAACCATCAGTCCTGCATCAAGCTTGGAAGGTTATTAGGATGGCATTCTAGCCAATGTATGTAGTTGCTGGGCAACCAACCCGTCTTGCTCCCAGGACACATCCAGTCATTTTCAATGAGAAGTTGAGCAGCTTTAATATAAATAAACAGACAATGAAAGGAGACCTTAATGCCATTAACCGAGTTTTTGTACTGTGTGATCATCCTTCCTAATGATTAATTAAATATATATTTCATATATTCTGCAGGATTTGGGGAGAAAATATCGCATCACCCACATCAGCCAGACTTCCTACAATCCAGATTTAGCTTCTTACAATTTCTGATTTTTTCCCAAATATAAAATCAACATTGAAACACCAAGGACAAGATTAGTGGGGCAGCAGATGGTGATCTTGAAAGAGAAATATGTGCATTGCTTGCAAAAGTGAAAGGGTCTCTGGTGTAAGTGTGTAATCTCCAGAGATGGTGGATTACTTTGAAAGAAATAAAGCATCACTGCCCTAAATAAGCAATTTTGGGATAATATACAAAAATCCAAAATACTAACTTCTCAAGTGCTTTTAATAGACGTTGTCGTTCAGAAAGTGTCCATCGAGAATATTCTTCCATGTGTAAATCTTTACCTCTGTTAGTTATTTTTCTTTTTCTTGATGGAGGCTTCATCTTTTCTCTGGAATTAGAAAAAGAAAAAAAAATAGAAAATTCAATTACATGCTTTACATGTTACAGAAAGGTAAGAAAATCTGAAGAAAAGAAATGAAGAGAAAAAAATCATTTGCCTTTAGAAGATAGTGCAAAATTCTGAGATAAATTCTTATTTCATAAATTATTTGTGCTATCATCCTCATTTTTGTTTTTTATATCATTGTTTTTGCCAATGCATTAAGTCTTCTGCATTTCCTGAAATTCTGACATATCAATGCCATTATCTCATTATTTTCAAACTAGTATCCTCATCTTTGTTGTTTTTATCACTACATTATGGACAGTGAATTATTTAGCCTTCCTCTTTGTTTGAATTCTAAGAAATTCTGAAATAAAGCAATAAAAACCAAAAAAGGTTGTGTGTGTTAGTTTGATCAAACTGTGCAATAATAATTAAACTCAGTTTTTTTTTCGTGGGGGTTGGGGTAATCATTTCATCCCAAGCAAGGCAATAAAGCCACTTACACGCAAGGGAGTTACTGAGAGAAAAGAAAAAAATTCAAAGAGAGAGAAGATGCCAATTGACATTGCATTTAAACTTTTAAACATTGTCGACAGGAAAGCAATAAGCCAACAGTTCCACAAGCAAGAAGAGAAGAAACTATAATGTAAAACTTACGGTTACATCTAGCAATTTCAACAATAAAATAATAAGACCTAACTGCCAATCTAGTACTGCATTCAAATTCGTAAAATCAAGGAACCAAAGAGGAAAGCTTATCAGAACAATTACCATGAGAATATTCATATAAACAGAACAGGGAAGCTACATTATGGTAATAAGAAAGTGATTGAAGCAGAGATACCAGATTGCACATTCTTCTTTGGATTTTGCCAAGAATCTTTAGATACACAGCAGAAGCACCAGACCAGAAATGGAATCATCCTTTTACCAAGGCATTTGTGAAAAGTAAATGCAAAATGTGCCAACTAGAGTTGGAACACCAGTCAATGATTTCATTTTGTTTTGATTGTTTCACCCCAAGCAAGGCGATAAAGCCACTAAGACATAAAGGGTTACGGAGAATGAAGAAAATTGAGAAAACTTTATCGAGAAGAAAGAACAATAAGAGAACAAGATTTAAAGAAGCAGAAAGCCAGAAGAGGGTTCCACCGTCGAGAAGTGTGAGAGAAGAAATGGAGACTAGAACTAATGGTTACATCTAGCAATATTTTCAACAGTAAAATGAGGAGAACTACTGAGCTGTTGCTTCTTCAACTGTCTGAGTGGGTCTAACCTTTTCAAATGTACTTTGGGATATGTGAGCAAAGGATTTGTGCAAGCCACAAGTAGTCATATCAACTCGTGGATGTACACTAGGGTTATGATATTTTGCAAAACAATTGATTTCCTGTAGCATAATGAACTTTTGTTAAAAAATAATGAAGAGTTTAATTCAGTTTATTTTTTTTTTAAATCTCACCCCAACACAAAATTTCTAAAATCGTACATAAGTATAACTATACTATGACTTCTAGAACTTGTTTTCGTAAGTTTGTATTTTATGCTATATAGATATAAATTTTTAAATGCATTAAAAAAAATACAAATATACTATCCAATTAAATCATTAGCAAATTAAAAAATGAAGCCTCTGAAATATTTTGATATTTACCCTTATTTTTGTATATGGTAAAATAGAATTTTTGTTGGGGGGTACCTTTTTTTTCAAGGACTAAAACAAATTAATGCTTTTTTTCATTACTTTTACTTTTGTTTGAACAAAAGTTCATTGATTTATGACACAGGAACATAGGCTTACAAAAAAGTCATAAACTAAAAAACTAAACAAAAGCAACAATTCCAACACACTAATTCTAGCACTGAAAATTAGTTTCATCGTAGGCCTTTGCTACTCCATCCAGATGACCAAGAAACGATGCTATATCTTCATGACCATGACCTTTTCTTCACTGTGTTGCGACACACACCCTTCAATTTAAGTTCATTTAGTTTCATGATAAACCTAATGATTTTTTAGCTGTTACAGTGTTACAGACTTGGTCTGAATATACTTTGTGAACATTTTTATACTTTTATATTTCGTAGCACATCTCAGTTTATTTTTCTTGAAATTTTCTGTACTTTGCAGGAACAGTTAATGTTTATACTCCCTTTCTATATAACCCAGCGACTTCTCAGCAAACCCAGAAAGAGAGGGAGACAAGGAGAAGGAGAAACACAGGTCCCTGGCCAGGGCACTTGCATGTGTGGATGTGTTAGGTATTGAGTTATATTCTCATTTGTTTTTGTCTGCCAACTGGATGCTAGTTGGGCTTTCCTATCTACCCTTACTTCCAGCACTTTTGGCCTTCACTACTTCCGGCTATCACAGACCCTGACTTCCAGCTATAACAGACCCTTATCTTCCGGCATCTTCTAGCATTCCTAGCCTTTGCTACTTCCAGCTACTCTAGGTCCCTGCACCCAGCTTTGCTGTCAATCTAACTCACCTGCTTTAGGAAATTGCTGCATGCATATCGTCCAGACTTCAAATAACCTATTCCATATGCTTTGGTTAAAATACTACAGAAGGTTCATCATTGGATTTGACCAGCAACTACCTAACACCAGCACCGGACATTGGACTTGACCAGCAACTACACAATGCCAGCACTGAACATTTAAACTGAACTTTCTTCTCCTTGGCTATGTTGTCCAGGCTTCAAATACTCTACTCCGTACACTTTGGTTAAAATACTATGTTCAAAGTTTATATTTTGTGTCAAAAAGTTTGTTTTTCGGGTGTAGTAAAATATAAATAAAAAATAAAAATATTTTTGGTGCAAGAAAAAAAACAAGGTAAAAACAAAGTAATGGCCACCAGTGATTAATACATTGAATTAAAGTTAGATTCTCAGCACTTTAAAAAGTAAAACAGAATTTTATTCCAGGACAAGAAATACAATTAAGACCAACAATCAATTTTATCCAAAATTTGGGCAAATACCAAGTGAAATGGGCGAGAAAATCCCATGGTCCTTATAGTACATAAAAAGAAAGATCTACAAAGAAAACAATTTAAAATTTCACATTAAAATATAATTTTAAATATGAAACAAATAAAAAATAAATTGCTAGCAATTGATTTTTCACTTTTTATTTAAAACACATTTTAAATTTCTTTAAAATATAGAGTTAACAAAAAGAAACGGAAAATACATTATGTTGATGTCAAATTTCCTTTGGTTTTTCAGTTTTTAGTCTAAAAGAAGTTGACTCTACGAGAATGAAAATGTAACTGTTTCAATAATAATAATAATCAAGAATCTTTTTTTGAAGTAGTCTTTGATTTTATGGCATTTTATCCCCACACCCACCCTTTATATCTTTTGAACTTTCTTTTTACAGATATGAAAAATCAAAATGAAAGAACTGATGCCAAAGTCTTAAACTTAAAGTCTTAGAAAAAACTTTGGATTCATGTAGGTACTCACAACACACTAAGGGTGAAGGGGTAACTTGTAGTATACTTAATGACCAGACCAAATTGATCACCGTAACTAGGGTTCATCCCCATCACCAGACAGCACATTTTGGAGACATTTTTTTAAAAATAAGCTGGTGCCATTTGAAACCTATCTAAAATTTTCTTCCCAGATTTGGCCGAATTATCAGCAGTTCCAGACATTTTAAAACTAAAATTAAAGAAGCCGCATTTTGAATAGGGCCACACAAATTGGATTGTTCTTCTAATCTTCTTGTTTAATATTTAATTTCTTTTTCTTCAATATCTTTCACCTGATATAGGAAATTAATAATTTCTTAGTGTAGTTTGTCATGAAAATTGAAAACAACAAAAATGCTAATTTAGATGAGCTTCTTTAATCAAAAATAAATAAAAGAAGATATTCCAAGTGTTTTTATTTCTTCATAAAAGATTACAAATTTTTATTAGGTACCTCCACTTTTACATGGAAAAAAGAGCATAGCATGATAAAAAAGGCCCCAAACTCAATAAAAACAAAGTTTTGTCATCAAAATGTTTATATTATTATTAAGAGGAAAGACCAAAGTATTTTTATTATTTTTTGAAAGTTTTTAATCCTTTCTAGCACATTCAAAATTTTGGTTAAAAATCTTGTTTTGTTTACATCAGTGATTAGTTTTTTTGCACTTTTCCTGGTGAAAAAGACATTGAATTGGAAATTCTTGCAAAAAGCAAATATTGTCGGATTTTAATGACATTTTCAGGATATATTCAGAAATGAATTAAATTATTTTTGAAATTTTTTTTTTTTTTTAGAAAATCTTGGTAAAAATATTTTTTTTTACATACCCACTTACTTAATTTCATACAATTTCAAGAAATTCAATTTTTAGGATGGGGATATTTTTATATTAGTTAAAAGCAGGACTCCTTAGAGAAAGTAAATCATCAATTTCTTTTGTAAAACAGTTACCCCTTTCACCAAAAATCTGCTCTAATTTTAAAATAAAAAATGCAATAAAACTATTTAATTAGGAAAGCTTTTAATTGCTTTGATATATAAGATTTATTAAGGACACTATTGTCTTAAAAAGAAATTTTTTTTGATAATTTTTACAAGAATTGTTTTTATTTTTTTTAATTTTAATTAAATTTTACGAATCAATAAATTGAAAAGCTCATAACAGTTGTTTGCATCCAAATATTTTTTTTTTTAATTTTTTAAAAATTTTAGTGTATTCCCAATTTCTAACTATGATAAGCCATAAATGATATTATCCTTTAAAAGGTGTTGTAATTTAAGTCACTTGGCATTCTGCAATTCTCTCAATTTCATTATTCAGTTCTGTTTCATCATTAGTGTCTTTGAAATTGGCCAAAAAGTTAAGATTCTGATCTATATAATTTCAATTTGAAATGAAGAAGAATATTTTACTGGAAATAGTAAATTTAGTCATTTAGCTTTCAATTAAAGCTAAAATGAAATCTTCAAAAATGCTTTTTCATTTTTAAAAATTCATATTAAAC